CCACCATATCCTTTGACAGTTTAAGAATTAGCAGCCCTTACCTTCTTTAACTTGTTGCTTCAACATAAAATCCATCGTTTGTAGAATGGCAATGCTCCTCCTCAGAGAAATATTTTCTGACAATTCTGCAATCAAACCACATTGTCATTTTCTTGATTGACCGTTCAAAGATGGCTTCACTTGCCAACTTACCATCTTGAATCTTTTGCACACCATTTTGAGCAAGCGGCCAACTGGATCCTATGGACAAGACTTAGTTACGTTGGACATGTCATGCTTTTAATTCCTTATACACAAATCACTTTACTGTAAAATGTAGAACCGAGATACTTTGGTCTCACTTCCTCAACTCTTCATTTACCCATTCTGAGCAAAAACCAAAAGCCATGGTTGACATCATGTCTCACAGCTTTGCTGTCAGTTTAGCCAGCGGCTTTGCTGGTCCCCCCATATCAGTCGCAAAGAGGAACAGACCTCATAGAAAGTATTTGAAAATCCCTCGATACAGAAAGTGAAGCAGTGGTCCGCAAGTGTGCCAAAACAAACTCAACCCATGTGGCCTCACTCTCCTAAAGTAGAATGTGGAGGGTGGGGGCGGGGGGACACACCAAATCTGAACCGTTTGACTACATGCAACTTCAACACAACTGAAGTTGCATTTATTAGCCATTTACTGTTCAACTTTTTAGCAGTTGCACAGCAAATGTAGTGGCGTCAGACATGCCAGAGAGATACTGACTGAAAAATCCAGGCCAATATAAGAGCTACACAATGCCAGGAAAAAAGTTTAAAAATGAACTAAAAAGTGGATTTAGCATGATGCGTTTCTAAAAAATGGTTTGAGTTTTTTTAAAGCACCAGTAAGCCACATTGCACTAACAATTACATACAAAATTTGAGAAAGAAACAGAGGGCAGACAAACCTTTGTAAAGGCAGACAGCCACCACACAAGTGAACAGGATTCCAACACACCCCATGGCTCCTGCTGCTACCTGAGAATGCAATCACCATTTGATGCTTAAAAACCTTTTCATGTGTAGGTGGCACAGCTGAAGTTGATCAACTGTAATTGGGTTTCTCTCCTGAAAAGTCTTTGTTCTCAATGAGTGCAAGGATTTCCTGTGACAGTCATGTTATGTAACTTGAGTTCACATGAGAACACTTGCATAAACAAGCACAAATTCAGCTACATTTTAAAAAAATGGGTTTAGGGTCTGAAGCTAGTCATGTTTTACATCATTGTCTACATATAATTAACTAAGATGAAGATTAATGATAAACTAAATCTAGAACAATCTTTATTTATTATTTTTATTTTTAAAAAATCCTATTTTTCTTTCAAGGGCCTTATTGAAAGCCTTGAAATTAGATCACTCTGAATGTTTTTTACACCATGGACAGAAACTTTGTCTTAAAATCATTTTTGTAAGTTTCTTATTTCATCCTGTATTTTTGAAATTTTCACTTCAATGAGACAAACGGAGAGTCATCATTTTGAATAATTTGTCAAACAGCAAATTTATAATATTGTTTTCCAAACCTTAAGTGTAAGTAATCACCTTTTCTGTTGTGATTCATATCACCAGATTTTGCTAACTTTTCACATTATCAAGCTTGAGGCACCAAAGTGAAAAAGGTTGCAGATTTTGTGAAAACCTTGCTGACCAATAAGATATTTTCTCCTGAGGTGCTGTGGTGGCGCACAAGGAACCTAATCGCAGGTTCGATTACCAGCCTGGTGACCTTTGCTGCATGTCTTCCCCCTCTTTCATTACCCACTTTACTGTCTAACTATTCTCAAATAAAAAATTAAAAAAAAACTAAAAAAAAAAGTTATTTTCTCTTCTGAAATCTTAACTGTGTTTTCAGGGTTTAAGTTTTAGTAATTTTAGTAATTCTGTTTACTTTATATTCTTAATATTCTTTTGTTAAAAGATCCTCATCACTGGATGAGCTTATATTGGAATTAATTTCCATGTCTACAATCATCAACAAAATTTAATATATATTTTTATTAGTAGTTTTAGCAGGCTTACTTCAAAAGATTGATCAATTATACAATTAACGATTTTTAGATATCAAATTTGATACAGTAGAGGCTTCCACACTTCCCATATTTGTGTCCTCTGTCACTTTTATCAGCAGTTAAAACTGTTTAATCCGTTTTTAACATGTGGTAGCCTGTTTTTCCGAGCCGCCTTTAAACGCAACATGAGCGCTATGACGCTCGCGCTGGGTTTCCACCTGTGAAGGAGACCTGCTGCTGCTGGGCGGAGCTACAGGTGTGTTAAAATCATGGCAGCAAACCAGCAAAACGCAAAGAACTTTTCACAGTTTTTCCCCCAAACTAACCGACTGAGTTGAGTAAAGCTGTTGGATGAAGGTAAAGTTAGCTAAAAGATGACTAGCTAATATCAATACAGCACCTTAAGTTTAACAAGTAGCCTGTAGGCTACCGATGTTGTTGTCTATGTCATTCATTTTGTCATCAAAAGAAGTTGATCCCCCCCCGCTCATTCTTAGAGACAGGGAATCTCTAAGAACCCCCCGAACCCCCCCCCTCCCCCCCCCCCCCCCACACACACACACACAAAAAGTGTTTAACCACACCACTATTTTTAATTCATNGCTCGACACGTTGTTGTGGGAGGCGTCGCTCGACACGTTGTTGTGGGAGGCGTCGCTCGACACGTTGTTGTGGGAGGCGTCGCTCATCAAATCCACTTCATTGATTTCCATTTGCACTGATTGAGTAAATTTACAAAATTGTCAAAAATGTGCATGCTGTACACACCATCTTACTTGTATAGCATAGCTTGCCACTCCCCACCATATCCTTTGACAGTTTAAGAATTAGCAGCCCTTACCTTCTTTAACTTGTTGCTTCAACATAAAATCCATCGTTTGTAGAATGGCAATGCTCCTCCTCAGAGAAATATTTTCTGACAATTCTGCAATCAAACCACATTGTCATTTTCTTGATTGACCGTTCAAAGATGGCTTCACTTGCCAACTTACCATCTTGAATCTTTTGCACACCATTTTGAGCAAGCGGCCAACTGGATCCTATGGACAAGACTTAGTTACGTTGGACATGTCATGCTTTTAATTCCTTATACACAAATCACTTTACTGTAAAATGTAGAACCGAGATACTTTGGTCTCACTTCCTCAACTCTTCATTTACCCATTCTGAGCAAAAACCAAAAGCCATGGTTGACATCATGTCTCACAGCTTTGCTGTCAGTTTAGCCAGCGGCTTTGCTGGTCCCCCCATATCAGTCGCAAAGAGGAACAGACCTCATAGAAAGTATTTGAAAATCCCTCGATACAGAAAGTGAAGCAGTGGTCCGCAAGTGTGCCAAAACAAACTCAACCCATGTGGCCTCACTCTCCTAAAGTAGAATGTGGAGGGTGGGGGCGGGGGGACACACCAAATCTGAACCGTTTGACTACATGCAACTTCAACACAACTGAAGTTGCATTTATTAGCCATTTACTGTTCAACTTTTTAGCAGTTGCACAGCAAATGTAGTGGCGTCAGACATGCCAGAGAGATACTGACTGAAAAATCCAGGCCAATATAAGAGCTACACAATGCCAGGAAAAAAGTTTAAAAATGAACTAAAAAGTGGATTTAGCATGATGCGTTTCTAAAAAATGGTTTGAGTTTTTTTAAAGCACCAGTAAGCCACATTGCACTAACAATTACATACAAAATTTGAGAAAGAAACAGAGGGCAGACAAACCTTTGTAAAGGCAGACAGCCACCACACAAGTGAACAGGATTCCAACACACCCCATGGCTCCTGCTGCTACCTGAGAATGCAATCACCATTTGATGCTTAAAAACCTTTTCATGTGTAGGTGGCACAGCTGAAGTTGATCAACTGTAATTGGGTTTCTCTCCTGAAAAGTCTTTGTTCTCAATGAGTGCAAGGATTTCCTGTGACAGTCATGTTATGTAACTTGAGTTCACATGAGAACACTTGCATAAACAAGCACAAATTCAGCTACCTTTTAAAAAAATGGGTTTAGGGTCTGAAGCTAGTCATGTTTTACATCATTGTCTACATATAATTAACTAAGATGAAGATTAATGATAAACTAAATCTAGAACAATCTTTATTTATTATTCCTTTTTTAAAAAAATCCTATTTTTCTTTCAAGGGCCTTATTGAAAGCCTTGAAATTAGATCACTCTGAATGTTTTTTACACCATGGACAGAAACTTTGTCTTAAAATCATTTTTGTAAGTTTCTTATTTCATCCTGTATTTTTGAAATTTTCACTTCAATGAGACAAACGGAGAGTCATCATTTTGAATAATTTGTCAAACAGCAAATTTATAATATTGTTTTCCAAACCTTAAGTGTAAGTAATCACCTTTTCTGTTGTGATTCATATCACCAGATTTTGCTAACTTTTCACATTATCAAGCTTGAGGCACCAAAGTGAAAAAGGTTGCAGATTTTGTGAAAACCTTGCTGACCAATAAGATATTTTCTCCTGAGGTGCTGTGGTGGCGCACAAGGAACCTAATCGCAGGTTCGATTACCAGCCTGGTGACCTTTGCTGCATGTCTTCCCCCTCTTTCATTACCCACTTTACTGTCTAACTATTCTCAAATAAAAAATTAAAAAAAAACTAAAAAAAAAAGTTATTTTCTCTTCTGAAATCTTAACTGTGTTTTCAGGGTTTAAGTTTTAGTAATTTTAGTAATTCTGTTTACTTTATATTCTTAATATTCTTTTGTTAAAAGATCCTCATCACTGGATGA